TGTCTCCCCTTGGGTTGTATTTCTGGTTTATACAAGACAGCAAGTCATCCTACTTACATGATTAGAAATCTCTCCTAATCTGCTCTACATTAAGGGGGTCAAAATGTTACAGGTGAAGGGATACATGGTCTGAGGCTTTAAAAAACATTTTTTTCCCCACAAAGAGTGGCTCTGAGTCTTTCACAGACATAGACTTGTTTGAGGTCTTTGGTCTTAAGAGTAGGTCCAAGGAGTGTCAATGTGTGCGGTTTGGGAGATAGGTCCTTCTCTCACTGGCTTCTGCTCTGCACTGTCAATTTCCTCAGTGTGAACTAGGTCTGCTTTTTTTGTTTGTTTGTTTGTTTTGTGTTGCTCCAGAAAATCCTGCTCTAGTCAAATTAAAAGTGGTCTTAAAGGGAAATCCTTGTTTGAGTGAGACAAAAGAGTGGGAAATGAATAGAAACCCCACCAATATGTGGCTAACGTCACATTTCACTAAACATTTTTTTTCCTCTCCAAAGATTCTTAATGAAAGTTTTGTGGTAATAACAGTTAGAAAGAGGTTGGTTGATATAACACTATGACTCCCCCACCCCCGAATATGTCCTAGTTCTGAGGACACTCTTATATTAAGCTTCCCAATTATCTTTTTGTTTGTGTCTGACTTAATTGATTTATAGTGGTTTTTTTTTCCTGTAAGCATGCTAATTCTCCTTGTTTTCTCAGTATTTGTCTTGATCCCCAGGTGATCACCAGGTATAGTGGTTATGTGTTTTGGCTTACGAACTACAAGTCCAGAAGTTCAAAACCACCAACTGCTCCTTGGTAGAAAGATGAAGCTTTCTACTTCCATGAAGAGCTACATTCTCAGAAATCCACAGGGGCATTTCTACCTTGTCCTACTTCCTATGAGGGTCACTATGCATCAGAACCAATTCAATAGCAGTGAGTTTGAGGGAGGCTACCTTGGTGGAAGCTTTTAAAAATGTCCTAATGTTTTCTAAGCATTCACCAATATAAGGCCGACACAGTGAGATCCAACACACATTCAGATGTTGGCCTTTTAAATAACGTGTTATGCTTTGTGGACTCTCTCTGGCTCCATCTGCCACCTAGGGTGGCACAAGGGGTTAATGCACTCAACTGCTGCCTTAATTGCAAATACAAATGGGAACTCAAGATAGGACATTTAGGAGACATGGAGTTTATGTTAAGAGGAGGGTACCCTTTGGGAAGGGAAGGTGAGACTGATTGCATAACTTAGAGACTGTCGTTGGTGTATCTGACTTGCACGTGCAGAAATGGCTAAAGTGGTATGTGTTTCTATGGCATATAGCAGCAACAAGGACAAAAAAACAAATGATGAAAGTATGAAAGAAACCACTCGGGAGCATATTCCTATGCTCACCCCTGGAGTTAGGACACACTCCCAAGCCAGTGTCAGCATACCTTTGACTTTCCTCTTTAAAAATACAGGAAGCTATGCAATTCAAAAAGTTATATACGGTGTCCACCTCATGTACAGTTATTTCAGTAGATGTTGCTATGTAATTTCCTTTATTTTTCCTTGACGGTACAGTTACAGTTTTGTCATTAACTTTCTGTACTTATTTGGTAAGTAAGTCAAGGTCGTGTCTGGAAAAGTTTCAGATCACGTGTTTTATTTTATTTATTTTGTAGAACTCTACGGGACCAACTTCTTAACACACAACCAGTTAAACCCATGCATTCATCTGAAACCACTAATGTGACACCGTTTTCGCCAAACGGAAGTGGCAAAGAGCATGACGGTTAGTTCAGGCGTGATTAGATTAGATTCCAATTTATTATTTCAAATTAAATACACCAAGAGTTAATCAGCAGTTGCTTTTGGTTTTCTTTATTGTTTCATTCTAAACTTGAATATTTAGCCCTTAATCTCCATTTCAACATCCAAATAATATATTTTTTCTTCTTTGCGTTACTTAGATTTATTTTGCTTTAATTAAAATAGTTTGATTTAAAAACTGAATGCTAATTCAGTGTGATCAGGGAACGTGAGAGTGTTTGTATCTTTCTGTGGATAGCCAGTCTGTTGTTGGTTATACTACTTTAAAGAAAGACTATTGATATTGTCAGTTAACATGTATCCTTCGATAATGTTTTCTAATCTTATTTTCTAGTTCTGGTGACCAAAGTACAGCACCCAGCTCTTTTTCTACCTGTAGAAGAATTAAAAATAGAGAGACCTGAACAGTCTCTGAAGATAGTAGAACTGGATGATGTGAGTGCATAATGATCATTTACATTTCTGAACTCATGGGAAATTAATCATGTATATTTTCAGCTACATATTACTTTCAATAGTTATTTTTCATAATTCTATACAGTTTAATAGGAAACTTTCACATGTTTTAATTTAGGCAAACTCAGAGAAAAATGAGGGCCATTTTAAAAGTATTGTATTAGGGTTCCAGCGCATATATATTGGATTCATTGCAAATATGATGTGTTTAGGCATGTTCTTGTGCTCCGTGGGTGGCTGCAGTTGTTATCTCAGTAATATATTTATCTTAGTTTCCGTAATGTGGCTTCAAAAAGGATACTATGAGCCATGGTGTGTGTGTGTGTGTGTGTGTATCAGAGTAATATTAAACATTTAACAAAACTCAAGTCAACAGCTTCCCAAATCATTAAAACTCCTTGGAAATCAAGGATCCATTTTTAAATGGATCAAGTGTTTAAGGAAAAGTTAGGAAGACCTCAAAGATGAGCCAAGTAAGGGAAAATCCTCAACACTGATCCATGGAGAAACCGTGCCGGAAGTCTAGAAATTGGTGGAATAAGACCATGGACATACCATGCAAAATCTACTGAAGATGAGATCTCACAAGGTTCAGTATTTTAAAAATTTAAGTGAACATCTTGGTCTCAGCAAACTTTCAGTTTGAGAGGGACCTAAAATATTGTGTGAAGATCAACTAAGTCAAAGATGCAATCAAGATCAAAGGCAATGAAAGTGGTTTTATGAGATAAATCTTAACTGGAAGCCAATGTTGGATTTATCAATATGATCTAGAGAGCAAGGTCTAATCAAAATAATGGCTTCATATGGGATCTGACGGATAAATTAAATTCAGGGTCTGATAATTCAGCTCAAAAGGTAGTGATTACTATTTTGAAAACTGGATAGGGACTGTCTTCATGGATTTTTTTCAAAGGATACAGGATGACATCAGGACTCTTATGAAGAAGTTTTCTTGTTTGTTTTTTTCACTGTAAAACTGCACTGATGAGGAAAACGTTCAGGAAATTGCATAACAGTTTTTTCCACCGCAGGACTGCACCTTCCCCTTCTTCATGGGTAGCCAGGACTGCTCTTTGAGAATTTCATTGGGAAGCCTGACCCCATCCATCCTACAGTTCCCATCTTGCTCCTTCAGATAGCTTTTTGTTTCCCAAACTCAAAGAGCGTTTAAAAGGAACAGGACTGGAATCCCTAGAGGACACCAAGCTACCGTTTTCGTGTGTGAATATGAGAACACTGGATTCTTCAGGGCAGTGTTAGAAAGGTGGAGACACGGGCTCAGAAGCACAGACCTCATGGAGGATGTGCTGAGCACTAATAGCTTCACTTTTTTTGTATTTTTGCTTAATAAATGTTTCTATGATTTTGTAGCAGTTAGTTCGACGGATCTCCTACAACAGAGTGTTATTTTTATGTGGAGTTTAAATTTATTAGCAGAATTAATGTTTTGTCATAAGGGAGTTATAAAGTTACTTTACTATTTTGACTTGTAGGAATGTAATTTGATACAATCAATTTAGTTCTTTATGTTTCCAGACCTTTTAACAAAAGTAAGTCTTGTTACATGATGTCTAGTTAATAACATTGACATATAAATTTAGTTTCTTGAATGCCATTTAAAATTATTCCCTAGTTAAGGAAGAACTCATATTTAAGATTGAAGAGATATAGTATAATAATAAAATAACGGTAAAATAATATTACCTTGAATGTGCCTATCTCGTCTTTCATTAAGCAGAATTATTAGCTACAGTTTGTTTAAGGTATAACAAACTCAGTATATTTCTAACTTTCTAGCTAGTATATCTTATTCTACAAATTTCTCTCACTAGTTTTAACATGCATTAACTGGAGGAAATGCCTCTCTTTCCTGTTTAGGCTGATGACTTCTACTGTGTGGTTTTATCTGTTTTTGTTTGTTTTTTGGTTAGGGTTCGGATTAGCAAAAACAAATTTCAAATTTATTTTTATTTTCGAAAATATGTAGATCAAAATGTATACAATTCAACAGTGTCTACATACGCAGTTTAGTGACATTGACTGCATCCTTGGAGTAGTGTGACCATTCTCAACTTCCTTTTCTGAATCTCGCTGGCATCAAGTCATTCTAACTCACCGAGATCCTGTCGGATGAGGTGGACTGCACCTGTGAGCTTCTAAGACTGTAACGCTTTTTATTTATTTATTTTTAATCATTTCCCTGGGCGCTCTTACAATTCTTCTAATAATCAATACATCAATTGCATCAAGCATTTTTGTACATATGTTGCCATAATAATTTTCTAAACAATTACTTTCGATTTGAGCCATTGGTATCAGCTCTTCTTTTTTTCCCCTCCCTTCCCCCATCCCACCCGCGTGATCCCTTGACAAGTTATAATTATTTTCTTATCTTACACTGACCACTGTTTCACTTCACCCATATTTTTGTTGTTCATTCCCCTGGGGTGGAGGTAATGTGTTATGTGTCAATCACTATGATCAGTTCCCCCTTCCTCCCCTCTTCTCCCCATCCCCGCCCCCCCCACCTTCCCCTTACCCTCCTGGTATCACTACTCCCATTTCTGCTCCTGAGGGGTTTATCTGACCTGGATTCTGTGTATCCTGAGGCCTTATCTTTACCAGTGTCCATGCTCTGATCTAGCCAGAACTGAAAGGCAGGCCTGGGGTCTTGATAGTGAGGGATGAGGTTGTCTCAGAGAACCAGAGGAATATCGTGTGTTTCATTAGTGTGATCCTGTGCCCTGGTTGACTCATTCCTTCCTTGTGACACTTCAGGAAGACCCCTCTTTCTCCTGAGGGGTGGATGGTGGTCTTGAACAACTGACTTTGTGGTTAGCAGCCAGATCCATAACCACTATGCCACCAGGACTCCTCCCTTCTCTGCGTTGTTCCTTATAAATGTATTGCTTGTTATGGTTCTGCTTAATCTTTTGAGTTGCTGTTGTCAATTTGACCCCATATAAATAGATCTTGAAAGAGCATCGTGCAGGCATTCTTTATTAATAAAGCTAAATTAATGGTTGGTTAAAAAAAATCCCTTTAAGGAATATTTAAAATTTCAGGTTTAAAGATTAGGGTAAGGCAGATTCTTAAATTTCCTCTGCCTAAATTTGATTTGTTATAGACAAATAAATATACAGATATGTACACATTCATAAACACACATTTGTGCACACTTGTATTCATTAAAATTGTTGATACAGTAAATCAGAGAATTAAAAAACCTTAATTGCTGATCTACTTTGCACTTAGTACATGCATAATAAAATACAAGTTGTCGTTGTTGTTTGCAAGTCTGGTAATAGTAATAAAATGGGTGACACAGCAGCCAGTGCCCTTAGTCGATACCTGCTGAATTTGTTGAGTTCTTGTAGCACTCATGTTCTTTGGCATATAACTGAAGAGTTCATGAAATTATTTGTACTAGGAAAATATACTAAATAGCATGCACAAGTTATCTGACTGATAAATGCTATATTTATTAAACATGTTAATATTTTGAACATATTTTAAGAACGCTTATGAAGAGGACTTTGAAGATTCAGGAAATGCTGTGTCTTATAAGGTTGAATTACCTGATGTAGACAGTACAAACTGGTAAGTTTTTTCTAATTCACTTTGGATGTTTACTTAAAACCCACAAAAAACTCACTCTAACCGAAAAATTCATGGTGTCAAAATTATCTGACTTTACTGTAAGAATATGTTTACTTTAGTCAAGCTTTAATTTATATTTGTCAATATTGAGTATTTAGAATATTACATAAAATGTTATATTCTTCCTCTTACTAAATATTTGGATTATTAAATACTAAATACTTCTGCACTAAAGAATTGCAGTTATTTGAAATACTTGGTGAACTCTGATATGTTTCATAAGATTTCTGTTTTTCTTTTCTCCAAAGATACTTTTTGGGTTTACCTCATTTTGTTCTGTATGAATGCTGACAAAAAAAGTCATATGAATATTTAGGTTGAGAGGGAAAAAGAGCTCCTAAGTTATACTTTACTTTTAGGCGTCTTTATAACTATTATATAGAGGTTAGTCATTTTCAGTAGAAACCTATCTGGTTTCATCTATTAATAATGCTAAATATTAGCTCCAATTCCAGTTCCTAGTCATTTTTTGGAGAACATATTACATTGCTGAAATTTTAGTTATGATCTCAGGTGTTTGAGCCACAAATCAGTAAATTGGCTACCCAGGGGACTAGTTCGCACTTAGTTCCTATGCCAAGTCTGTGTTTATATGGTCAGATCAATTTATGGCCTTATTTGTATTTTGGAAGAACTATGTCCCTCAATCAGGGCCACAAGGGTGCAGTTGTTTATGTTTGAGGCTGCCAACCCCGAGGAGTGTTTTAAACCCACCAGCTGCTTCCCACCAGAGAGCTGAGGCAGGCTGCTGTCCCCTGAGATTTCCCGTGACCTCTAGGAAACCCTCGGAAGCAGCTCTGCTATTCCTACAGTGCCATGGAATCAAATGGACTCAACGCTAATGGGTGTTTGGTGTGAGCCTAATTACACCTGGGGTGTCATTGTTAAAATGCTTAGCTGCTAAGTAAAAAAGAGGTTGGTGGTTCAAGCTCACCAGCCACACTCCAGGAGAAAGTTGTGACAGTATGCTTTGATCAAGATTTATACACTTGGAAACCGTGGGGTGATTCAGTTTGCCCTATAGAATAACTTTGAGTTACGGTCAGCATAATAGCAAAACAAGCCTAAGTAATACACTTATGTTCCCCAAACCTGTTAAGACACATAGACCCAGATATGTAGTAACAAATATGCTTTTAGCAGCAGGGTTTCGGCAGGGGACAAAATCTTGGTAAACAGATTCAAGCCAAACTCACAACTATGGGGTCATTTCTGACTCCTTGTGACCCTACAGGACAGGGTGGAAGTACACCTGTGGGTTTCTGGGACTTTAACTCTTTAACAGGAGTAGAAAGCCTCATCTTTTCCCCTCAGATCTCCTGGTGGTTTCGAAATGCTAACCCTGTGGTTATCAGTTCAATGCATAGCTAACTATACACCACAGAAGGGAATGAACAGCATTTCACTTCTCTAACCTGATTCTTCTTTATAAGTTATCACACTTGTCAGACTTGACCCCATGTACAGGATTTGAAAACACCACTGACTGGGGCTTGCCAATAGCTTTACCTATAGCTTAGGTTTGGAGGTGCCCCAAGAATTAATTTTATCTCCCTTCTGAAATTCAAAGTGAAAAAAGAGGACCTTTTTGGTTAGGCATAATATGTGAAATAGTTTTAGGGTTCTTTGTAGAGCTTATATAAATTCATTATTAAATATATTAATTCATAGAAAATGTTATTTAAATTGTAACTGTGCTTGAATATGGTAATCATTAAATATTGAAACTCTAATACTATATAATGGTTTTAAATTTTTATACTTCATGTATGAACATAGAATATGTTCTATATGTTACTAAAATGTTGATTTCATCAAGTTTCCATGAGCTTTAGTAATCATTTTTCATTTGGACAAAAAAGAATAAATAATATTAAATTTATTTCAGGATGTTTAAAATACAAACTTCAATTGAGATATTATGTCAAATTAGTTTCCTATAACTTTTTAATACTCATGGAACTATATAATTATAAATAGCTTAGAATGTAAGGTTAAAACAAATAGTGACCAATTATGAATAACCCTATTCTGTTTAAGCTTTATTTACATATGTTTTAATGACAGATATCTTGTACTCTATTTTTATTATTTCCTCCAACTCTATTTCTTTTGTTTTTTTACTGAACACGAAAGTTGGACATTGAATGATTATCAAAATATTAATTTTCCATATGGAAATAACCTCCATCCACATCATGTTTTCACTATGGGAAAAATAGATCTCTTAAATTTTTGTCTGACCACCAGCTCTTCAAATCACAGAGATAATTCAAAAGGTAAAATTTTATTAATTATTAATATCATTAGCAATGATTATTAGTATTATAGTCAAACCAATAGGTATTCTTGTTTCTTATGCTATTCATTTGAAAACCAGAAGTTTATAAAGTAGTTGACAATACGTACCTTCCTTACAAATGTGCTTTTTAGTCAATTAATGACAGTGCATGTGCTCAGAAGAAAGAGTAACCGTTATTGGCCCTATGAAAGAACAATATGGCCTGCACTTGCAATTAAGTGATCACATGGAAGAACTTACAATGACAAGAGTTTGATTGACATTTGTTGCCTTCCCTGGCATTGAACTTTTTCCAAACATATTCAAATAGGATGTGAAGTTTCACATTTGCGATAAAACCAAAAGCAAATTAAACCTCTTGTTTATACCCTACATATTTTATCACTGAGTTTCTTTGGGATCTGTAGACTATGGGCTCTAATCTGGTTTGAATTCCCAGTTAGTGAGATCATTATTTAAAGACAGTCACAGCACAGCAGCTTGTGTTCTGAGTCTTCCACCATTGTCACTGTGTGATTAATTTCTTAGCCCTCATTTTCCTAAATTAAAATTCAGGAACTAGATAGTTTTTTCAAGCTGATGCTTAAATATTATACTTGAGAGTCTAACTAGAATTTTAAGGGAAAATATAAACAAGTACATCATGTGTAAAGGATGTGTGAAATATTAGAGAAAGAACATTATTTTAAAATAACTAATTCTGAAACTGATAACCCCCTTCTGATGTGATAGTAGAAGGTAGGGGATAGCAATAAGCTTGTCTGACCAATGGCTCTTCATGTTGTAAAGATCATTCAAAAGGTAACCTTTGATTAATTATTAATATTATTAACCGTGCCACTGAATCGTTGCCAACTTTAAGCGACCCTCTAGGACAGGGTCAATTGCTCTTGTGAATTTCCGAGATGGTAATGCTTTGCGAGAGTACAAAGCCCAGTCTTTCTTCCTTAGGAATGGAGCACAGCACAAGTTTTATGAAACTGCATAGGATTTATAGCGCATGCTTATGAGTACTTTTTTCTGACCTATTAACATAATACTTCATTTCTCATCATACCTCTGCTGTTTAAGAGGTGACAGGAGTTGGGAATATGACTTCTAAGTGCTATGTGTAATTGCTGAGCTACAGGGAATGTTTGACTAAAATGAGTAAGTCCTTTGGGCTGAGGGCAGAATTTGCATTCATTTACATTCCATTGTTGTGATTGTTGACCCCAGCTCATAATGACCTTGCATGGTGGAGTACGACTTTGTGCAAGCAGATCTTCTTCAAGGCTAGTGCCTTCAAACCTGCAGTCTTTGGGTTAGCAGCTGAGCCCTTGATCATGGCACTACCAGGCCTCATTGTTGTCCCCTTAGCCTCAACTGTGTTATGTAGTCTATTTGTAAAGACACTATATTTCAGTAGAAAGAGAATCAGGAATAATGAAAGGAAGCTAGATGAAATCAGATAAATGTAGATGTACATTTATTTAAAGTGAAAGGAATACGTTAAAATAATTTGTTGGCATTCTCAATCGAGAACATCTGGACTAGTGTTTTACATTATTCACTATTCTTTACAATCACCTGGAGTGCCTAGGGAAAAGAAAAAGAAAAACAGACCAATGTCTGATTCTTCCTCCCAGACTCTGATTTAATTGGTTTGGGGTCAGGCCCCTGCACCGACAGTCTTAAAGAGCTCCTTTAGATGGTTCCATTGTGCAGCCAGGTTGAAACCCAGTGATCTAAACCAAGTGATTTATTTAAAGCAGGCATAATGAGGTGGGTGACTAATAAAATCGAGCTCATTTTGTTGCTTTCCAGAGGCAGGTGTTTCAGCTTCTACAGCGCCTGTGCCCTCTCTGCTGCCACTCTGTCATCTGGCAGATTTTCCTTGCCCTCCTCTCCTCATCTCTAGGCAGGCAGGCTGGGGGAGAGAGGTGGGAGTGGCACTCAGGTACCCTCTGCGTCGCTTCTCCCGAATTGCTGTTGTAAAATCAGAGTGGCAGGGAGAGTGGGAAAGTAGGAAGTAGGAGAAGGTGAAATAAAATTTACATCCATTTCAAGATTTCACGGTAAAATAAAAGCTCGCCTTCCTGCATTAGTCTAACTCATTAAGATTTGACTGTATAAATAAATGTGATTATCATTCTTTGTATAAGGAAGATAAAGCATATTTTAACACTGAAGCTTCCACATTGGAATTTATTGACATGTATCTATCTCATAGAACTTTAGGTCTATGGAGTGTGTTGATCTATTTACTTGTTTACATATGTTGATTTGCATTTGCAAATATATGTTTTCAACAGCAGGAACTGCAAGTATAGATTGTGACAGCGTAGCTGATCCTGGTGTTTCTTCTCCTGGCGTTGGAATAATGGAGGAAAACAGCTTCTGTGGAAAAAGTTTAACAAAGGAATGGCTAGATAAAGGAAGCTATGAAAAGTCTGCTCATTCCTGCACACGGTTTGAGAGTAAGAATTCTTTGCCAAGTACAGATTTTGAAGAACTTTCCATTAAGGAGTTATTATCTCAAGACATCAAAGAATCTCTGGACCTTAGCAATCTGCATGAGAAGCCATGCGCACAAGATTCTAAAGCTACTGAATCACAATTGGTAAATTCCTGTTATGTTCATCAAATTACAACATTTTATAAGAAATTTCTTAAGATTTCATATTTACACAAAACCCTATTATATGTTCTTTTTATTGAAATTAAAATGTGATTCCTTATATTATCATGTGATAATGGAAGAGGGTGACTTCTATGGGAAGATGTTAATGACTTATTGGACAAATTCTAATATGGTAAATGCCATTCTAATAAATGGTTTTCTGTGACTAATAGTATGTCAAACCCCACCTCATGAACCACAGTAAAAGTGCTGTTACTGTTCTAATTGCTATTCATTTTTATGAATAATTCAGTATAATAAATCCTCTTTCTAGCTCTTTCTTCTAATATAGTCACTGGGTAAATGAAAGGTATGCTGATATGAAGGGAGAATGAGTGTCTGTTACTTAATTTAATTGTAAGTTGAAGCATATAAGTTTATATGGACTATGGCTAGCATTTTTGCTTATTTTTAGTGGAAAAATAGTAAAGTAGCTCATTATTGCCATTAAAAACATATTTGAAATTTTGTATTATATAACAAACATCTGAAGTAATCATTACCAGTAATACTACATCCTTTGGAAATGAGGCAAATAAACATTTTTCTTCACTTCAAAAATTCCCAAAGGTGCCTAAATTGAAGGGTGACACCCCCCCACCCCCACTTCAAAATAAAAGAACAAATACTTGAGCAGCTGATAGTTCTGCTTGGTAGATTGGATTTCTGTATCCATTTTATGCCATCTCAGATATCCATGTGAGCTGAGAAAATGGACCTCTGCCAACTGTTTAGACCACGAAAAGCCTGCCCAGTCTCCAAACGACTGTCCTGGATAAAATGACCCTGGGTATAGAAGGGTGAAAGGAAGCTGACTTCCGCTTGGGATCTGAGTTGGATAAATAAACGATCTTGCCTGGAAAAATGCGATTATTTGGCTTTCATTGGCAAGAATACAATGTCAACCACTGAACCAGACCAGGGCCAACTCTGGAACAGCCTTTCCATCGCTCATATGAAGATCTGGATTAAAGCCGAGGACCATTAAGACAAGGCCATATGAGCCAAAATGCAGCCTTGAGCATATCCCGCCAAATTCAAAATCATCTCAAGAGCAGATTTGACACATCGGACATTAGTGACAGATGATCCGATGAGCTGTGGGGGGACATCAAGAAAAGCATTAATGAAGAAAGCAAAAAGTAAATAAAAAGCAAGAAAAAATGAAAAGGTCAAAGTGGATATCTAAAGAGACTCTTAACCATGCTCCTAATTATAGAGTAGCTAAGCAAATGGAAGAAATGTTGACATCAAATGACCAAACAGAATAAAATGAAGTAAAATATTAAAATGAAATATACAAAGACCTCGTGTCAGGACCCCC